AAGCAATTCAGTAATGTGGCAGGATACAAAGTCAATGTACAGAAATCAGTGGCTTTCTTATACACTAACAATGGAAACAAAGAAAGGGAAATTAGAGAATCGATTCCATTTACTGTAGCACCAAGAACCATAAGGTACCTGGGAATAAACCTAACCAAAGAGGTAGAGGATCTGTACTCGAGGAACTACAAGAACACTCATGAAAGAAATCGAAGAAGACATAAAAAGATGGAAAACCATTCCATGCTCTTGGATCGGAAGAATAAACATTGTTAAAATGTCTGTACTGCCTAGAGCAATCTATACTTTCAGTGCCATTCTGATCAAAATTCCACTGGCATTTTTCAAAGAGCTGGAGCAAACAATCCTAAAATTTGTATGGAATCAGAAGAGACCCCGAATCACTAAGGAAATGTTGAAAAAGAAAACCAAAACTGGAAGCATCACATTGCCTGATTTCAAGCTTTACTACAAAGCTGTGATCATCAGTGTCTCGTAAAGACAGAAAATGAGGTGATAGGAGCCCTCCTGGCAGTTTCTCTCAGAGTTGTACCTTATGTAACTATGACACAGCGTCAAACTCAGGACACGGACACTGACCATCACATGGAGGTCCTTCTCTGCCTGTTGGTCTCAGGTGGGGACTTGTAAAACCACACCATACCCAAGATCGAGGGTCATCACCCTGTTCCCTTTTCCAGCCACACCATCCCTAATCCCTGAAAATAACTGATGTTTTCCATCTCCATAATTTTGTCATTTGGACAATGCTTTCTAAGTAGAATCCTATAGTATGTCACTGCCTCCTGACGGGCTTTATATATATATATATATATATATACACACACACACACACACATACACACACCCACATACACACACACACACACACATTGTTTTAGAGCAAGAGCAGGGTTAGGGGAGGGAGAGGGAGAGAATCTTAAGCAGACTCCATGCTCAGTGTGGAGCCTGATGTGGGGCTCGATCTCATGACCCTGAGATCAGGACCTGAGCCAAAATCAAGAGTCAGATGCTTAACTGACTGAGCCGCCCAGGCACCCGCCCCCGAGATCGGCTCTTTTTCAAGCGGCCGATGCCCCTCGGCCGCATCTGTCAGCGCACGCTCATTTTCGGGGCTGAGTACCACTCAGTAGGACGGATACACCGCAGTTAGCACAGCCATTCACCTGTCCGCGGCGTTTTGGTCCTTTTCAGTTCGGGGCTGTTACCACGGATTTGCAGATCCTGGGAGTGTGTTCTGCTGATTAGATTAACTTGGTCTAAAGACACTAGTACTGTTTGCTTCTGCCGAGACCGAGAAACACAAGGTCTGTTTTGAGCTTTAATGGACCCAGAGCAACTGTGGACGAGCATCTGGCTTTGCCCCACGTGCGTCTGCCATCCCAAGCCAGGGTCCTCGAGACGCCATTCCAGAGAGGAAGACAAACCATAAACAAGTGCAAACAGTCCCGAGAAAGAAGGAAATCCTGCCATTAGCAACAACACGCAGGAACCTTGAGGACATCATGCAAACAGACAAGTCAGAGAAAGACAGACACACTATGATTTCACGTATGGAATCTTAAATAAGCTGAACTCCTAAAAACAGAGTAAAATGGTGTTTATCAGCCACTGGGGGGGGGGTAGAAAATAGAAATATGTTGTTGAAAGATACAAACTTGCAACTAGTAGGTGAACAGGTCCTGGAGACCTAGCGCACAGTTTAACAGACAACAACATTGTATTATCAACATAAAACTTGCTGAGAGACTAGGTCTTAATTATTTCCACCACAAAAAGAAATAATTACATGGCCTGATGGAGGTACCCACTACTGATACGACAGCAATCACATTGCAGTATATGAACGTTTCAAATCAACATGCTTATACCTTAAGCTTACACAATGTTACATGTAAGATTTACTTCAGTTTTTTTTTTTAAGTGCAAACGTTGGCGATCCTTGCTATGCATGAAGTAATGCTGGAGAGAGGGGTTTGGGGGGAGGTGGGGTGGGCCAGCATAGTTAGGTAAGGTTTGGAGACTGGATGACTCAGTAGAGGTGACACTGAATGAAAAACTGAACCACATAAAGATGAGGGGTTGGGGATGAGGAGGGGCGGTTCGAACAGGAGGAATAGCAGATGCTCAGACCCTGAACCTAGAGCAAACCGTGTCCAGAAATCAGCGACATGGCCAGAGTAGCTGGTGCACAAGGAAATTTGCTTTGGGGGTAGAAATGAGAATGTGTTTCCCGTTGTTTATCTCTGCAGGTTGGGTCACTGTGGACTAACCCCCGCCTGTTGCCTGCTGATCTCCCAGATCCTTGTTACATCCATCAGCCTAAAATCTCTCAGCCTGGTAGGAGATAAGTTGGCAACCCAGGGCGTAAAGGCTCTCTGTGAGTCCTTGACAGCCTCGCAGTGCGCTCTGCAGAAGCTGATGTGAGTCGCTCTTCTTTCCAACAGGGATCCTATCTCTTAACTGACGCGGCCCAGATGGTGGGGGAGGGGGAGGGAATTAGTGGGTGCCTAAGCCAAGGGTTACAATGGGAGTTCTGACCCCACGGGAGTGCCCCGATATTGAGGTATTTAAAAAGTCAGTAAATAACATCTGTGTCTTTGCTACCAAACTCTGAATAATACAAAAGTCTAGGGCAGAAGCCAAAGGCATGGGAACAGCCAGGGGCTGATGATTGAGGGGAGAAACGGGGAGGAGTTGGTTAAAGGGTACAGATGTACCGTTAAAAGACGCATAAGATCTGGGATCTCACATACGGCATTGTGCTCATAGTTCGTACTGCTGTGTAACATACTGGAAAGTTTCACCAGCGCCAAAATCCCAGAGTTGTAGCCTGCGGTTGGAGTTGCCATCCATGGGGTCCAAGAACGCCAGGCTGCGTGCTGAGTGTTCTCGTCCCATGAATGCCATCCTCACAGCCTGCCCGCTAGGAATTATTTCCACCCCATTGGCTGATAAGGAAAATAGAATCCAGAAGAAGGGACATCTCTTGTCTAGGGCCACATAGGGAATAAAAAGCAAAACTATAACCTGAGCTCTGGTTTGACACCTAAGGCTAGGAAAGCTCCCCTTGATGACCTACAGTCTGGGCGAAGTTGTTTCCCGCACCTCTCCCAAAGCATGCCAGGTCAATAACATCCTGCTTTCATGGGGAGTTTGAGTCTAAAGTCATAGAAAAAATAAAAAACAAAATGGTACAAATTACCTTATAAAGTCCTGAGGGGGAGAGGATCACCTTAGAAGCCAACATATCTTCTCTCCCTCAGTCTATAGGAGTTAGACATTCCCTCTATCCTCTTATGTTCAATGTCTGAGGCCTGCAAATTAAACTCATGATTGACAAGAGAAAGAGCACACATATTTTATTGGTACTACATTTTTTTTTAATGGGCAAGGAGGCTTCACAGAAAAGATGTGAGAAACACAAAGAAGTGGTTAGACTCAAGCTTCTATGTCATTTTACCAAAGTTACACTAAATTACAGAGAAGTGACTAGACAAAAGGCGTTTGGGGCTTCTGGGGGCTGATAAATTGTGGGTAGGTGACTAGTATATGAGAGGAACTCACGGTAAGGGTTATATGATGACTCTTCTCCATGTCCTGTCCATCTCTGGTGCAAGGGTTATTCTCTTGCTGGTACCAAAGAGGAGGGACACATGCACAAGGGAAATCCATGCCCTGTTTTAGGCAGATGGGGGAGAACACAGAGCCCTTCCTGCGTCTGCTTTTTCTCAGCTGCTCTCAGCTCAAGATCATCCTTATGCCAAAGTGACGTGTTTCAGGCCTACATATCCTGACCCCCTTCTAATCCAAGCCAGCCAGTAGTTCTTCATCCAAATAAGCTGCTCTCGATAATATGGAGTAAATGCTTGTTTTTACATGATTTTAAGCACTTTAGATGTGTTAGTTCATTTAACTTTACCACAATCCCATGAGAGAAGGACAACAAACTTCTCGTTTTCGAGTGTTATTGTGTACTGAGCTCTGAGACACAGATGGACTGGGAAGGTCACCTTCTAAATGGGGGGGTCCCTCATCTCAGCAACACCTCATGGCACATGCGAGGAGCAAAGACACCTGGAGGGGGAGCAGGCTGACCTCATCCATGTGTTGTGGGTGATGGCAGATCTCGTCGCCCAGGCCACCCAGAACATCAGGGTGGGCTTTGCAAATTAGACCCAAGACACAGTGTGACGTCACCATATGTCTTCGAGGGCATGGTCAGCCACGGGCTGGCATTTCTGTCCCTTCCTTGGGAGGGAGGGAGGGAGGGAACCTTCAGAACAGACCTCATGCTTTCCCCCGCGGCGCTCTCCCTGCAGACTGGGGAACTGTGGCCTCACAGCCGCTGACTGCCGGGACCTGGCCTCAGCCCTCATCAGCAACCAGAGTCTGACGCACCTGTGCCTGTCGAGCAACAGCCTGGGGCGCGAAGGCGTGAATCTGCTGTGTCGAGCCATAAAGCTGCCCAGCTGCGGGCTACGGAGGCTGACGTGAGTCCGGCTCGCTTTCCTGGGGGGACGGCACTGCCTTCTCACAAACAGCACGTCCCCCTGGCAAGCTCAGAGCCGTGGGAGCGTGGCTGCTCGGTGAAGGGGACGGATAAGGGCAGCGTCCCGGCCGCCGATTCCCTCCGTGCGCGGAGACGCCCACCTCTGCCCGTTTCCCTGCAGCGGGAAGTCCTCGTTTATCCCAATCCAGGCGGCTCTCGTTCTTTCCTGCAGTTCTGGCCCACAAAGCCCCCGCCGCTCACAGGGGAACACGGGGCTAGGTTCCTGAGAGCCTCAGGTCTCGTTTTCATCAACCAACCAGCGCCTAACCTTGCTGTGTGTGCTTGAGGACCCCTGATTGAGTGCGTGTCGCTGATTCGTTCTCGCGGCGCTCCGGGCCCAGCGCCGTGACTCGCGGCGCAGCGAAGCTCCTTTGCGAAGCGCGTTCTCCGGCACCAGCACAGCTGCTCGCGCACGGGAGCGCGGGCCGGACTTCAGCTCGGCCCGTGAGCACCACAACTTAACGGAATCACCAACAAAAAAACCACAAAAACGCCAAAAAAGTGGCACTAACTGGATCACGGAAAGGAGATCTGTTGACGACGAATTTGAAATGAGTTCACCCTCCGTGGGAGCGTGTGCGTCGGGCGGCTGGAATGTCGCTCTGCTGTGCACACGCACGTGCGTCCATGAAGGACCACGAGGACCACGAGGACGGATTCGGGCGGCCGCGCACAAATCTGAGCAAGCAGACAAACGTGCAAACGCACAGCCCATGAATAATGAGGACTGACACCCTTAAGCACAGGCGACCGGCGAACGTTCTCGGTTGTTGGTGATACACAGACGACCACTGCGGTCCCTGGGTTCACAGAGCTTAGGTTCTGGGAGGGGAAGCTGATAACCGAGATTTTCAGATGACGGTAATAGTGACCCAGGGTCGGCAGCCACAGAGGTGGTGTCCCAGCACTCCAGACGGTACCACGCACACAGCTAGGGGAGGCCGTGTCCTCTAGCTTGTGGGCAGCAAGCTGTCTCCCTAAATGCTTTAACAGCTGCCACCCCGTGGCCGGGGTCCTCTTCCAGCCCACACCTTTGGTCCGCTGGTGAGAACAAGAGACCAGTGCCACACCTGTTCCACACGTCAGCTTCCCTTGCTGGGGTCCCTTCCCTTTCAGCCATTTCACCCCCACTGACCAGTTAGCTCACCAATAACACTGTAATTTAAAAAATCAACATAGGCTAATGGTCTACCTGTGGCCGTAAATTCTGTTAAAGATTATAACTTGAATATGCTTGTCTACCTTGTGGGCTCCAAGGTTCCTCAGTGAGTAAGTGATGGAGAGATACTGAGGTTGGTAGACAGAAGAGTGACCCCCCCCCAGATGTCCATGTCCTAGTCCCTGTAAATATGTAAACTCACGTGGTAAAAGAGATTTTTCAGGTGTGATCAAATTAAGGACTTTAAGATGGGAAGTTATCTTGGATTATCTGAGTAGCCCTAATGTCCTCGAAGGGGTTGTTATGAGGGAAAGGAAAAGTGGGAGAGGAGATGTAGTAACAGGGGTTGCTGACTGAAGACCAGGAACCAAAGACTTGAGCAGCCCTATAAAAAGCCAGAAAAGGCAAGAAAACCAATTCTCCTAAGGAGTCTGCAGAAGGAACACAGCCCTACTGACACCTTGATTTTTACCTCAGTAAAAATCCACTGAACTCCAGAACTGTAAGATGGATGTGTGTTTTAAGCCACTAAGCTCGTGGTGATTCGTTACGGTGGCCATAGGAAAGTGACACATCAAGTACGAAGGAAAATTAAAAAGAGGATCTTGAACATCTGGTGCATGCATTTGGCCAGACTTGTGCCAAGCACTTCATGGTCATCCTGTCACCCAAGCCAAAACCTCCTTAAGTGTCCCCTTACATAATTCCCTCTTAAAGGAGGAGGAAGCTGAGGCCAACAGAAGTGACTTACCCAAGTGACTTATGGCAAGTGATGGGTATGACCTTCCTCTTTCCCTTGTGTGCGTCCCACAGGCTAAATGAGTGCAACCTGGATGTCGCCAGCTGTGGCTTTCTTGCGTTCGCGCTTATGGGCAACAAACGTCTGACACATCTGAGCCTCAGCATGAACCCTGTGGAAGATGATGGGATGAACCTTCTCTGTGAGGTCCTGATGGAACCATCTTGTCACCTCCAGGACCTGGAGTAAGTTTCAATAGCGGTTGGGGGTCAGCTCTCCCATATTGGGGTCTGGGGTTCCTAGCAAGTCCAGAGACGTGAGTGGGAAGACTGGTACCAAAACTTAGTTCTTGGTAATTGGGTCTAGTTGGGTCAACAGATGCTCCTGTTTTCCCATGTCTGCCACAGTGAGTGTGGGAAGGACATGGGAAGGAGTCCAGACAGGAGCCCCATGATAGCATTTTTGGAGCTTACGTCACCCTCGATTTCCAAAACCCGTTCACGTCTCACAAGACCTCTGCTTGCCCTAAATGACTCTTCAGCTGTTCATTCTGCATGTAGGGTGGAGAGGGAGGGCTCGCTGTCAACACCTTCTCCCTCTGGGGCTCAATTTCTTTACCATTTATTGAAATGTTTCTATTTAATAAGAGTGTTCTGTCCTTAAACAGACTACAGGAAAGTTAAAAGTCCTCAATGAGGAGAAATCCATCCCCAGGCTAACAACCGAGCAGTAAATGTTGTTAATACTTCGGCAAATTCCTCCTGGAGGCACAATCGTTACAAAGAAAGGATCCCAGCAGTTACGCTGAGAGGGTTCTTGCCACATAGCAGGCCCAGCGCTTTCAACATTTCACGTGTCTAGACTCACGTAGTCCCCCTACCAGTCATTTCCAGGGGAGACCAGAAGTCCCTTAGGAGCCAAAACCTGGCCTTCTGGTCTCACTTGAGGATCTGCAGACCATAACCCTAAACTAGGTCAGGTATGGAATTCCAATTAATGATGCATCATAACTTTAAAAATCCCCCAAAGCTGGACACTGAGCTTCTGCCCAATGTTTTAGTCATGCGTGCCTTCTAAATCTTTGTGTACTTGGTAGTATCTTCTTCTCAGTGACAAAGGTACAATCAGTGAACCATAAAGTAGGACTATTTTAATATCTCTCCTTCTCCAATAATAAACAAAAGAAAGAAAGTGGATAGAGATCGTAGCCCACAGATCTGAGTGCTCCCCACCCAAGTGTCCATTCCTACGTTTGTGTTCACGAACCCATCATCTCAAGCCCTACTCTGGCATGGTGTAGACACTAAAGCTTAATCACTTGGAGGTGCTGCTTCTTTGGGGTCACAGTCATGTGCTGGGGGTTGTGTCCTATCATCGCTGACCCTCGCTGGCACCTGAGGCTTGGTCACTCTACCTGGTGAGCAGGTGTGAGCCCTGGCAGCTGAGCTCCTGCTCATTCTTGGCGTGGACGCCTCATGAAGCTGGGCGCTCTCATCCCCAAGGGATGGTTCTATTCTTAGATGAAGACAGGAGACTGCAGAGCTGTTTCCATCATCTACGCAGATGAGTCATCCGCTAGGGGCCTTCTCCGTTCCCATCCTTCCCATTCATCCTGGGAACAGAAGCACAAGACCCCTCTCCTTTCAGACCCCAACCCCATCTAGCATTTCGGTACCTTCTGTCATCTGTCCTCATTTCTCACCCTCTCAGGGACTCTCCCAGCTTCTCCTCACTTGTGTTTTTCCCCGTCTCTTTCTCTCCAACCACCAGGGAGAATCTGTATCCCACCTGCAGGCGGGAAGCACCCTCTGATGGGCTCTCTTCTTCTTCCAAAGATCCCTCAAGGCCCATCCCGCGAGCTCCCCGCCCGCCACTACCAGCCCTCCTCACCTGAGCCCTGGACGCTGCCCAGACCGAGCCGTTCCCAGGGACGGACAGAAAGGTTCCTGGTGTGGAAGGAGTCGAGGAGAGCCCCGCCGAGGCTTCTGGGCACCACCCCGCTCTAGCACGCTCCTCAAAGGACACGGGTTCTCCTCTTGCAGGCTGGTTAAGTGTCATCTCACGGCCGTCTGCTGCAAGAAGCTGTCCTGCGCGATCACGAGGAGCAAACGCCTGAAGAGCCTGGATCTGGCCGTGAACGCCCTGGGAGATGACGGCGTCCTGGCGCTGTGCGAGGGGCTGAGGCACCGGAGGGCTTCTGTGCGGAGGCTGGGGTGAGCGTGCGGCGCGAGCTCCTGGCCCGGTGTGAGGGCTGGGGCGGGGGAAGGGGGAGCTGAGCACCCGCTGCTGAGTGAGGCGCTGTCCCCACTCTCATGATCCCGTTGGAACCAGCCGCGTTCTGCGGCTGCTCAAGAAATAGAGCTCAACCCCTTCGCATCAACATAAAGCCATTTCCGGGGAAAGCCCTGGACGTTCCACCACGAAACCACTTGATATCTGTCCCCACGCTCCCTTCTTTCTGAGACAATGAGGGAAGGACCCCCGCCACTTTCAGCTTAACCTCACTCCCGTGGGGGATCCATGCTGTGCCTTGTGCGCTCACGGAACTCCCTCCCCTTTCCTCTTTCCACAGTCGGCCTTGTCGAGACTTCCTGTTTTCACAGAGGTTTCGATAGTATTTTAGAAGCAAAACCCATAATAACAGTAAGCTTTATCCAAACCTACCTCACCATCAAACTATAGGCAGTTAAAACTACCCAAGCACACCCCACGACTTCTTACCCTATCACAAGAACACCCCAAACACACAAAGTCTAGAATGATTGGGACGTTAAAAACCGGCTTGCTCACTGCCCAGTTTCAACGATGGCCAGTGTTTCGCTCCATCTGGTAAACCATTTCATAGCTTGTCCCCCTCTGAGTACCTCGACATGTGTCTCCAACACGGGAGAACGCAGCTGCCATCCAGTTACTACATCTCACGAAGCTGTCCAGCCATCGGCGGCTCCAAGGATAAAATCCTAAATCCTTAATGTGACCTAAAATGCCCAGCCTCCTCTCACACAGGGAGCCTCTGGCTCCCCTGTGGCCATCTCCCCTGTGGTTCACTGTCCGTGGCTCAGACGTGTCCCAGCCTCCCTCCCGCGAGGGCCAGCTGTGTGCAATTCCCCACCCCCGTCACTACTTCCTGCCCCGTTCATCTGGTTTCCTTCTTGTCTCTCGGGTCCCAGGTGAAATGTAGGTTCTCAGCAAGTCTTTCTCCATGTTCCTTGTTCAGTTCCTGGTTGCAAGCACGCTCGCCCATTACCTTGCATTCTTTCCACAACTGTCATTAAGTCACCCAGCACCTCTTAACGGGAGAGCCAGCAGCCGTGGTAGGTAGCACCATTGCCTGGGAATCGTCAGAAATGCAAATGTCCAGGTTCCTCCCCCAGAACTGCGGGACCAGAAACGCCAGGGGTAGAGCCCACCACCCGCCCCCCATCTTAAACATTGCCCTGGAAGTCCGATGGGTTGAAGGGTCAGTCACTGAACTTTGGAGGCATTTCTTGGCGTGTTGGCCCTGCAGGTTGGAGGCGTGTGGACTGACTGCCAGGTGCTGCGAGGTCCTCGCCTCGGCCGTCCTCCGCAGCCAGCACCTGACCAGCTTGAATCTGATGCGGAACGATCTCAGCCCTGAAGGAATGACAACGCTGTGTCTGGCCCTCGCGCAGCCCACGTGCCACCTACAGATAATCGGGTGAGTCCCTGGCGATTGTCTTCCAAGACACACACCCCCTTCTGCTGCAGGCATGCTGGCCGGGGGAGAAGCCCTTTATCCCGAGGCTGACAGGTAGCTTGACAACCAGATCCTTGTTCAACCAGTAAGTGCCCACTGTGCTCCGGGCACCGTCCTGGGGATGCAGGGGTAGAGACAGAAGCAAGGTGCCTGATATCACAGACCTTACCTCTGGAAGGGCTGAGGAAGAACAGAGAGACAACATACAAATGAGATGTTTATCCTTCAGAAGTAGAATTTCTGTATGACCCAACGATTCTGAGCACACCCCCGACAGGACTGAGACCAGGATCTAGAAGAATTACTTGTTCACCCGCGTTCACAACAGCATCATTCACAGACGTCCAGAGGCGGAAGGAGCCCAGGCGTCTGTTCTCTGGTGAAGGGGTGCATGAAGTGTGATCTGTGCACACAGTGGACTGTCCCTCAGCGTTAAAACCAAAGGACGTCCTGACACCTGCTGTAACAGGGACAAACCTCCTGGTTATTATGCTCAGTGAAGTACGTCAGATGCAGGAAGAGGATAGAGCAGGGTCCTACCTGAGTGAGGTCCCCAGAGCAGGCAAAGTCATAGAGACCAATGGTCAGCGGCGGTGCCAGGGGCCGGGAAGGGGGTGGGGAGTCGGTGTGTGATGGCCACAGTGTCAGCTGGGACGATGAAAAGTCATGAGGAGGTGGCAGAGACGGCCGCCCAACCACCCACTGAAAACGGTTAGGACGGACAGCCTGCGGAGGCTGGCTGGTCTCTGTTGGTTTCCACAGCAGACAGGGGCTGGGGTCCTACAACAGTCAGTGTCGGTGTATGGACGTAACAGGGTGGTTGTAGTGGGGGATGTGAGGACCAGGATGGACTGGAAGACACAGCTCTGCAGACTCCGAAGCCTCGCTGTGGGCAGGGGAACTCCCAGCGATCTCTCAGCGAATAGGCTGCAAAGGCAGGAGACTGGGCTGAAAGAGAGCATATTTGTATCAATGACTCACAAAGCAGCGCAGCTTTGGGCAAACTGAGCCTGTGATCATGGGACTCAGCAGTTGAAGAGTCAGACCTGGATTCTACTCACAGAGCCTCCGGGAGCCCATTTCCCTCTCCGTAAGATGGAGACGACGCTGTGCGCCTACTGAATACCTCCCTTTCCTGCCCACCACACGTACTTCACGAGGGCAGGCACTTAGCCTTACTGGCCGCCCTGCCTCCCAACCCTGTCACAGGACCCGGCACAAAGCAGGTTCTCAGGAAGGAGTTCGTGGATGGGTGAGTGATCGTGCCTGTCTCTGGGGACCGTGGTGAGGGGCCGATGCTTACAGAAGCTCGGTGCAGCATGAATACGTCCCCGCGCGCCTGTACATGCAGGGATCTACTCTTCTACGGAGCGCTTCAAGAGTACAAGAAGAGAGGCGCATGGGTGGCTCAGTGGGTTAAAGCCTCCGCCTTCTGCTCAGGTCATGATCTCGGGGTCCTGGGATCCAGCCCCGCATCAGGCTCTCTGCTCTGCGGGGAGCCTGCTTCCTCCTCTCTCTCTGCCTGCCTCTCTGCCTCCTTGTGATCTCTGTCTGTCAAATAAATCTTAAAAAAAAAAAAAAAAAAGAGTACGAGAAGAGTCTTCAGATCCTTGGTGGTGTTTCCAGGACTTTTAAGGAAAGGAGAAGCAGTCAGAAGCAAATCCCCAGAGTAACATGTCCCCTTTCCGCCTTCCCAGGTTGTGGAAATGGCAATATCCCACTCAAATAAGGAAGCTGCTAGAGGAGGTGCAACGACGAAAGCCACAGATGATAATTGGTGACAGCTGGTATTCTACTGATGAAGATGACCGGTACTGGTGGAAAAACTGAAAACAAGAACTGCCCCCCACCGACATGCACACACGCGCTCTGATGGAGAAACATAAAAGCAGTCTTCTAGGGCAAGCTGTACCCAGGAGCTTCCTCTCAGGAATGGAATACGAGTTCCGGGTCTCACGAAACCCTCACTGGTGACCATTCTCATGTGTCCCATGTAATTTAGTTATTGCATTTGCCTCCAACATAGGCTGTCCTGTTCTGACCCTAGGATCTCAGTGTCTATGACATGTCTGTCCTACCTCAGGCATGTGGAGAAAACCAAATAAAATAAGCACTGGGAGCATTTAGGGAATAATCACCTCGTGACCTTGAGCACTGGGGATATGATCCAGGGGAAGAGTGGGAGGACTTAGGTCCTAAGAGTGGCCCCCAGATGTGGCGGATACAAGCCTGTTGGTGTTAGAAAAAATTAAAGCATAATCTGAAAGGCAAAGGGTGGTGTGAGCATCACTCTCTCAACATAAACGAACGAAATGCTTAGCGTCCTGCAGAACTGGTCTACCACAGTCTCAGAGAAGCGCAGGCTGATCTTCCGTCGGCTGGGGTTTGGGGGAAGCGTGGAGTTCAGGGATGGGTGAGTCTCTGAGGGGAGCTGTGACCAGTTCCTCGGGTAAGACCCCTTGGCATGCACAGGTTTGCTCATCAGAGTGAACCCCTCCTGACCGGCTGAGTTCTCAGAAGCCAAGGGGAGTCCTTCATTGGCCTATCAAGCATGTTCCCGGGGGCAAGCTGTCTTGGAGCCATTTAACGGGTTTAGCCCTGGCTGGGTAGCTGCTTGTTACCGTGGCTGCAGACCAGTCTCTTCCTAGGAAAGTGGGAAATTCTTGTGTTCTCACCAGTGTGTCCTTTCCATCAGTCCTTCCGTTTATGGCTCTGTCTGGTCTACGACGATAGTAGCTAACACGGTCCTTCCTGTGTGCCAGGCTCTACGCAATGCACAATCCACACATTAACTCATTGGTCTTAGAATTTAAGCACCGTTTCCGCAGACCTGGAAATGTTTAAGGCTGTTCCCTGTGGGCTCAGGTTACAGCGGCTCTGCCTGCTGCCTCTCAGCCCTGTGATGCGGCCGATGGAAATTCAGACCAAGCGGAGGAGAAAGGCCAGCCTCGAAGTTTCCTTGGGCTTCTGTTGCTAGTGTTATCTTCCGTCTCTGGTGTCTCTCCAGGAACACTGTTTAAATGCGTGTTCTGGAAATATTCAGATTACATAACGCTTGTGCCTTGGACCCACGGGGCCTGGTCTGTGTGATGGGAATGGGGGAGCGATGTCACAGTTATGCCTCCTAATTAGAGACATCCCAGTCTTGAGAGCACTGGCTCTCCCACTCGGGATATGGGACCGGCTGGCCTACAGAGCCGGTGAGGCAGCCCCACTGATGTTGGGGTCAAATGCTGATAAAGGATACTGTTTCGGTCTTTTTAAAGAAAGACCACCTTGGGCGCCTGGGCAGCTCACTGGGTTAAAGCCTCTGCTTTTGGCCCAGGTCATGATCCCAGGGTCCTGGGATCGAGCCCCTCATCAGGCTCTCTGCTCAGCAGGGAGCCTGCTTCCCTTCCTCTCTCTCTGCCTGCCTTTCTGCCTACTTGTGATCTCTGTCAAATTTAAAAAAAAAATACCACCTTACATAGAGCTAAAAATACCTATCGCCTGCCTTCTGTGTTTCATGGAATCTCTTGACCACTGTCTGTTCCTCTCTCTCCTGGATGGTTCCTATGTCCCACTTCAGAAAATCACTGCCCGAAAAGGAAGATCCAAGAGAGAAGGCAACGAGTTTTTAATTCAGACCTGTGTTGGCATCCTGGCTCTCCGAAATGATTCTGATGACCCAAGACAAATGCCAGCCTCTGTTAGCCTTTGTTCCCGTCTCTTAGAAAATAAGGAAAACAGCACCCATTTCTTATGGGCAGTTTGGGAAGCTGAATTCCTGGAATGCTCACAAAGCCAGAACACTCCTCCCACAGATACATGATTAAATACCTACTTGTGTCCTCTACGGCCGTTCACAGTATGGGTCACAGACTTAGCAGCTGGAAACACCTTACCTCACAGTGTCTGTGGGTCAGGAGTCTGGGCACGGCTTAACTGGGTCCTCTGCCTCGGGATCTCACGAAGACATGATGAATGTGCCCGGTGGGGTCATGGTCTCACCAGAGATTCAACCGGGGAGGAGCTCTTCCAAATTCAGGTGGTTCCTGGAGGCGTTCACTTCTTTGCAGGCCACCAGACAGAGGCTCTCGGTGTCAGGGGGCATTCCTGGCTGCTCGCCGTGCTGTCCCCTGCTGTGGCAGATTCCTTCTTCGAAGCTAGAGAGTCTCCCTACAAAACAGACTAAAAATTTCCTGTTACCACGCAAGAGAGGTCCCACCAACTTTGCCGTATCCTGTTTGGCTGTAAGTCACGAGTCCTGCTCCCACTGCAGGGGAAGAGGCCCCCACAAGGGCATGAAGGGATGAAGAGATCATGGGGCCACCTTATCGTCTGTCCAATTCTATGCTCTAGGGGGAAGCCAGTCTCGCCTCACTTCTGCGGCTAATGTCTTGTCCCCACCCTTCCCCCACCCAGCCATCTTCAAGGGTAGAGAAGTTACCTTGTTGGTAAGGCCAGAAGGAAGACACCAGGCCTGTGTGGCTGTGCCCCTCTGGGTACCCCTTCCAAGCAGCCTATCCTCAGACACATGCATTCTCTCCTCCTCCATGCAGCAAGCCTCCTGGGACTCTGATCGAGGCAAAGTGTTAGGAATCTGCAAATATAGGGGTGCTTGGGTGGTTCAGTCAGTGAAGGGTCTGCCTTGGGCTTAGGTCATGATCTCAGGGTCCTGGGATGGAGCCCCGCATGGAGCAGGGAGCCTGCTTCTCCCTCTCCCCCTGCTCCTTCCCCCTGCTCTTGCTCTGTCTCTCTCAAATAAAATCTTTTTAAAAATCTGCAAATACAGGCCATCAGACCAACGGAGAATAGAGGCGACATTTTTATTTATATCTAATTCCTGATTTCTCAATCGATTTCAAGTTCCAAAAGGAGGGGACGAGGTGCTGATTCTTCTTAGAAATGCCCAGTGCCTGTGTGCTGGCCGCTTGGCCAGGGCTGGCAATCCAGCAGCACGTAAGATCGACAAGGTCCCTGCTGTCCGGGAGCTTACTGCACTCCTGCGACACAGGGAGGGGAGGGTGGTGGCAGGTACAGGCGGCAAACGTCCATCGGTACATCATACCATCAGACCTGTCCGCAGGAGCATGGGGTGATGCTGACTTTGGAGCCTGAGAAGGCTGCATTTCCTCCGCCTTGTCTGTATTGTTTTGGGTTGGTTTTGGGGTATGATTTACATAGAGCAGCAATCTCCCTCCGGTGAGTGTCGCGCTCTGAGTTTTGACAAGCAGCTGGAGAGCCATCGCCAAAATATACAGAACAGTTCATCCTCCAAAAACCCCGCGTGCCCACTTGTACCCGGCACTGACTCCCCACAGCCTCCCCGCATTGCAGAACTGAACCTGGGAACAGCCACCCAGGAGTCTTCCCTGAGGGCGGCCTGAAGCATCAACGCGAAGCATCGACCCAGCCTGGCTTGGGGCGGGACACCCTCCCCGCCGGCCGTTTTGTGGCTCCGCGGTGCCCTTGACCCTCCGCCAACGCCCGCCTAGAGCTCCCCCGTCACCGCCAGCGAGCCCGGCGGGAGAGCCGCCCGCACCGCTAGAGGGCGCTAGAGCCCCCCGTCACCGCCAGCGAGCCCG